CCCATGTAGTTGACTGTGGTTTGAGTCTCGGGCCTGGCAGCTTAAAACTCACGCCAGGTGTGTCTGTGTGTGTGCCCAACATCCTGAGAGGAGAATGGAGGAGAGGGGATTGTGATGTGGCCATCCCCTCTGGGAAGAGATTTTTCACTTTCTGCCTCTCTGTCCCTTTTTGTTTCTCTGGGAGCACATGCGCCCTATAGCACAAAACAAATAAACAAAAGACAAAAAACCCTCTCTTTAAAAAAACAAAAAGCTGTACTTAACCTACCCAAATATTCTTTAGAAATGAACTTCCATCCTAGGCTTCAAAAGGCTTCATATAATTTTCCAAGAAAAATATTGAGTCGTTGGAAAAATCATAACACATTTTTGCATAGAAAAACAGAAAAATATGACTTTTCAGACCACCTAGTAAGCACTCACAGTTAAGAGTCAAACAGAATGAAATAAGGTAACTGAAAGAATAAATAGAAACAGGTGGCAGCAACAAGCAACAGCAGCAGGCTCACAAAAACTTCAGATTCAGCAATGATCAGGCATAGATTTTAACATTTTCATGCTTCCCATGTTTAAAGAAATGGAAAATAATGGGCCCAACAGGTGACATGGTGGTTAAGGTGCTGGATTTTCACACTTGACCTTGGTTCAAGTCTGGGACCTGGTGGCTTGTGTTCTCTCTCTCTCGCTCTCTCTCTCTCTCCTGCCATCTCTCTCTGAAGAGCACATATGCCCTGTAGCAAATTTTAAAAATATAATAATAAATTTAAATAATAATTCTAAAAAAGTTTTTAAAAACAGAAAACAAACTAGAGCATATCTACAAGAAATTTTAAAATGACACAGTATAGTTGAAAGAGAAAAAAATTAGAATTTTTTTTAAAAGGAGAAAAAGAAGGAATGAAAGAAAGAAAGGAAAGAAGGAAAGGAGACAAGTAAACAGTAGCTATATGAGAACATGAAAGTTCCATGGGCCACAGGGCCTTCATCTTTACTAGCCCCTACCAGTGAACCTGGTGCAGCAGACAAGTCTCTTGGGACAATGTTTCACCTGGCACCAAGCAGAGGTACTGCTTTTCCTTCCTAAGTCTCTCAATGAGCTGTTCCTGATGTCCACAAGGTGCTCTTACCAGGGGCACGCCTACTGTGGCATGCATGGCAGCATCTATACACAGCAAATTACATCCAGCCCTAGACCATGGGAATTCCAAGCTGTATCCATGTGTGTGCAATGCCACAGGGCTTAATCTTGACTCAGAATAATTCATATATGTATTGAATATGGAAGATTTTGATGTTGAATTTAAACTTGAAAGGCTACGTTAGTCCATTATTGCATTGCTAACAGAAATACCTAAGATTGGGTAAGTTATAAAGAATAAAAGTGGGGTTTGACAGATGGTGTAGCAGTTACATTGCCAGACTCCCACATGGCTGACTGCGGTTCAGGTCTTGGACCCAGTCATTTGAAATCGTGCTGGGCGTCCATGAGTGTATGCCCAAGATTCTGGGAGGAGAATGGAGAAGAAAAGATTGTGGCGTGGCCATCCTCCCTGGGAGGTGACTTCTCACTGTCCCTCTCACTGTCTCTGTCTCTCTCACTCTCTCTCTGGTCAGAGCACATGCCGTCCTGCAAAAACCTATTTAAAAAAAAAGGAATAGAAGTCCATTTGGTTTAGGATCCTAGCACCTAAAATGTGGGCTGGCATAGGACCAAAAAGTATATGTGGGTTCATTATATTATTCTCTCTACTTCTGTGTATGTTTGGAAATGTTTATTAAAAAAAAAAAAAAACAACCCTTAAAGGTCTATTTATAAAACCATGGTAATTAGCTGTGCTTTTTGGGTATAGATAGTCAATAATCCAATGGAACAGAAAAAAGAGACAAGAAATAGATCTTCATGTGTTTATGAGTATTTAATTTATGACAGAGATGACACCTGCATATCAGTAAGGATAGAAAAGACTTCCAATCCTCAGTGCTGGGACAAATGGATAACTATGTGGGGAAAAGATGATTGATAGCACTACCTCACTCCATACTCAACAATCAATTAAAAGGGCATTAAAAAGCTACTGGTGTGGTCAGCAGGTGGTGTGGTGGTTATGGCACTATACTCTCACATGGCTGGCCACAATTTCAGTCCTGGACACAGCAGCTTGAAAATCAAGCCAGGCATGTGATATACGTGCTCAAAGTTCCTAGAGGAGACTGGAGGAGAAGAGATTGTGGTGTGATCATCCCAGCTTGGGGGTGACATTTCTCTCTCTGTCTCTCTCTGGTGAGCACATGAGTCCTATGGCAAAACTTAAAAAATAAAAATTTAAAAAATGTTGACCTTAGTGAAAGGCCAAAACTATAAAACTTTATAATATATATATATATGATGTATATATGTATATATCATATGTATTTATTAGAATAGCTTTATAACTCTAGAGTAGAGAAGGCTGCAAAAGCATTAACCATAAAAATAATGATATATTTGACTACATTAAAATAAAGAACTTCCATTCATCAAAAGACATCATACAGGGTGAAAAGATAAGCTACAAATTTTTTTTGTAGATTTTATTTGCAGTATAGTAGACTCCCCTTATTCATGGAAGATACATTTCAAGACTCCCAGCAGATCTGTTCCATAACCCCCAGTTGTTGCCTGAAACCACCTTATATCACATACTATGTTTTTTAATCTGAGAGATAGTATATACAGTGTGGATAAACTAGACAAAGGGATAATTCATGTTCTGCATGGAACTGAGCTAGATGGTGCAAGATTTCATCACGGTGTGCAATTTTAAATTTATGAATTGCTTATTTCTTGGATTTTACATTTAATATTTTTGGACAGTATTTGACTATAGGTAAATGTAACTGTGGGAAGTAAAACCAGAGATAAGAGGGAGGATAAGGCATGACGGGACTTCAAAAAGCTTCAAAAATGGGATTGAACTACATATTTATTTGGGTACAAAAATTTTTTTTGTAATCCATTCATAGTTTTTCAAGTCACTGTGTCTGAGACTTGAACCACACAGTTGACCAACACTGTATATTTTCTATAATAACTCTCAATAGAGATTTATACAAATTTGGAAATGGAAACTAATTAAAATAGTATAATCTTGCAAATTGTTTTTGGTTTTGTTTTTTCCTCCAAAATCTCTGAAGTATTTACTCAGGAAAAAATGTTTTCTCTTTTGTTAAATTAAAATATAATAATTGTGCCCACTTTTAGTAGTTAAATATTTTAAAACCGAAACGCCATGGAAGTGTAGAACTCTCATACCACAAGAAATGTAAAAGAACTTTGACAATAATGTAACAAATATTTATTGAATGTCTATGCAGTGTCAGAAAAATGAAAAGGACATACGAAACATAACTTTTAATGTATTTGCTAAATCTAGTGTAAGAATCTCTGCTTTTCTTTTATACATCAAGAAGGCAGAACAGGGGAACCAGCAGTTAGCGTAATGGCTATGTCGCTGGACTCCCACATAGTCGACCACGGTTCGTGTCCCGGACCCGGTGGCTTAAAACTCACGCCGGGCGCGTGTGCGTGCGTGCCCAAGATCCCGAGAGGAGAATGGAGAAGAAGGGATTGCGGCGTGACCATCCCCCCTGGGGGGTGATTTCTCGCTTTCTGTCTCTATGTCTCTCTCTGTCTGTCTGGCGAGCGCACGTGCCCTACAGTGAAAATCTCTCCAAAAAAAAAAAAAAAAAAAAAGAAGGCAGAACAGGGAAGCTGTATAAAGACAGAAAGCGAGAAATCACCCACCAGAGGGGATGGTCACGCCGCAATCCCTTTTCCTCCATTCTCCTCTCGGGATCTTGGGCAGGCACGCACATGCGCCCAGTGTGAGTTTTAAGCCCCCGGGTCCAGGACGCGAACTGCGGTCGACTACGTGGGAGTCCAGCGACATAGCCATTATGCTAACTGCTGGTTCCCATGGGAAGCTTAATTTCTATATTAAAATCAGCAACAGATCAAGAAAGCATGAAAATTATACTCATACCACTGGGTAATATATTTGGAAACATGAGTATGCATAGATTCGGTTTTTTGTTTTTTGTTTTTTTTTTAATTTAAGATTTTTGTCATAAGGTATGCATGCTTGCTAGAGAAACAGAGATAGAGAGAGAGAGATAAAGTGAGAAATTATCTCCCAGGAGGGATGGTCACACCACTCCCTTCTTCTCCATTCTCCTCTTGGGATTTTGGGCACACACACATACCCACTGGTATGATTTTCAAGCGTCTAGGTCTGGGACTCAAACTGTGGTGGCCATGTGAGAGTCCAACGTCTTAACCACCATGCCACCTACTGGTCTGTGCAAATATTCTCTGAATGTTAATTTGGATAAATCTAGGCTTCAATAAATTCACATCTGTATCCTACCAGGAAATGTATGGCCTGTGTGTTAGAATCTGTACACTACCTAAGTAGAGGGATGATTCCATTCATTCTGGCCTGCATGCCCATGGTAGCTACTGGATTCTGTGGAGTAAGAATGTTATCTCACATCTCACATTCCTCTTCCTCCTCGTCTATGTAAATGGATGGGATAAGTGGGAGGACGATATTTTAATTATTTTCTGCCTTTGGCAGTATTTATTTTCTCTCTCTCTTTTAAAGTTTATTTATTTCTTCCATGAGAAACAAAAAGGAAATGACAGGCACTGCCAACAAGGTTTTCATGCCCTGATTACGGTTTTAAGTTTCTTCAATTTTATGTGCTCTCCATGAATACATTTTCAGTATAGTAATAATTACACATTCTCAGTATTAGTGAGTAAAACTGTTGGAATGTAACTTTTTAAATATCAAAAGAAAGAACTGTTAGCCTATGCTCTTCTAAATAACTTTTTAGTGCAAAATAAACATTTTTTTAAATAACATTTTAGTGCAAAATGAGCATTTTTAGAGGTTGTAATATAAAAGCCCATATTCTTAGGCTGTCTCGAGCAATTTAAATATTTCTTCACTGCTTACCATCAACTGGCAGGTTTTTCTTAAGGTCATTAATTTCATTTTCTGTGAGGTTCATCTTCATGGTTTGCAAAACAGTATCCAGTTCACTGTCATCAAAAATATCCCCTTCAAAAAAAGAGAACAATATAAGCAAAATCTAATTACCGTATATTAGTTAAAGGTATTATTTCCAGGGAATTTTGATTATCATAATGAAAAAAGTCTAAGGTCCAGTGAGATCTGTCAGAAAGTTATCAATACCAGAACTAGAATTAGAATATCTCCTCCTGATCTGGTTTTTGTTAAGTAGCTTGTTGAACAACTGCTTAGCAATTAACAGTAAAGGAGGAAAAAAATATCTAAGACTTGACCAAAAATAGTGTTTATTTTTACTTTATTAACTCCCAGGTTGCATGGTTGAACTGCTACTAAAATTTCTGATTAGTTTTTATTTTTATCATCTATTTTTTAAAGTGCTGACATAGTACCTGATTATTTTCTTTCCTGCCCAAAATTAGAAACTCTGGAGAATACAAGACACTACCCTCTACACTAGAATACACAGAATTGTCTGCTTAAATACATTCAGATATATAAAAGAAAAATACATGGTTATCAGAATATAGGCAAGGGTGGCAGAAATCACAATTTAATGGTTAAAAGTTGCATAAATACAAAACATGAAGATCTCACATTTATCTACCTTTCCTTTTTGCATTTTGCTCACCTTCAAGGGATTTCACACTATTCATTAATCTCTTTTGGTAGACTTTTCCACTAGTTGCAAGAAAAGTACAAATCAGGTCAGTCAAAAGAAGAGAGATGACTGACAATATCATTTTTAAAGCCATAATTCAGAATGACAGACTTCATGATTTGTCCTAAAAAATTTATGGTTTAATCTCACACAAGAAAATTATGAATGATAAAAGTTTTTAATGGGGCATCTACACACACTCATTAGCCCCAGACCTCTTAATTATTCCTGTCCTGCCTCTAATTTCTTCCCTTTTCCCTTTAGCTAATTCTCATTCAATTTTTTTTTAATATTTCTCAGTTTAATTTGGGGATACATTATCACTGATTTCTAAGGAAAGAATAGGCAATTTTTTGTCCTGATAGCAGGATTAAAATCGACAAAGTGCAGGACCAGTAGTTAATGTAATGGCTATGTCGCTGAATTCGCATGTAGTTGACCACAGTTCAAGTCCTGGATCCGGTGGCTTAAACTCACACCGGGCGCAAGCGTGTGCGTGCCCAAGATCCTGAGAGGAGAATGGAGGAGAAGGGATTGTGGTGTGGCCATCCCCGGGGGGTGATTTCTTGCTTTCTGTCTCTCTGTCATTCTCTGCCTTTCTGGAGAGTGTACGCGCCCTATAGCAAAAACCTCTCCGAAAAAAAAAAAATTGACAAAGTGGTTTATTCCCAAACTATTGCATAAAATAGTTGAGCTTTCTTCTTAAAGTGGAACTATTAGAAATTTATTCTAAATATTTTTAGAAATCCTTTCTTCTTAAAAAAAAAAGTTGCTATCAAATAAAAGGTAAGTATAAGGCAATTTATGGACATACTCACAAAAATGTGTATAATCCTAAGTGCCCTTAAATGCAACACTGTAACTTGAAATGCTTACCATCAGCCCGCAGGTTGTTCATCAACTTCAGACTTCCTTTAGGTGTGAGCTCTATCCCCTTATTTTCTAGGACACATTTCACATCACTAACATCGACATCCTCTCCTTCAAAAGGTATTAAAGATAGAAACACAGGTAGCTTAGAGGTATAAGAACGATATAAGAGCTCTAAATATAAACACACAAGTGCACACACATACATATACATACACATTTTTATGTTTGTCCAGCATTAGCTGCTATCTGTACAGTGAGACCTACCCATTTGTTTATAGCCATCACGGAAATGTAATTTATTTTCTTACCCTAGTAAAATGGGATAACCAAAATGGCCTCCTATTGATGATACTATGGTAGGCAATCCAACTATTTTTATTGCTTTAACTATGAAATATCCTATATTTTTATATTTACTTTATAATTTTTTTATCCCAGATAAAACTTTTTAATGCAGTTATAGATGAAAATCCAGGACTGGCAAAAAACACCAGCAAGTAAAGAAAGTGTCATCATGACATTGCACTAAAGTTTTATTGCTAGATGCAGATAATCTTTTTTTATTTCTTTGAGAGGTTTTTCACTATAGGGCGCGTGTACTCGCCAGACAGACAGCGAGAGACATAGAGACAGAAAGCGAGAAATCACCCCCAGGGAGGATGGTCACGCTGCAATCCCTTCTCCTCCATTCCCCTCTTGGGATCTTGGGCATGCATACACACGCGCCCGGCGTGAGTTTTAAGCCACCGGGTCCGGGATGTGAACCGCGGTTGACTACGTGGGAGTCCAGCGACATAGCCATTACGCTAACTGCTGGTTCCCTAGATGCAGATAATCTACAGCCAAATCTTAGGAAATTACATGTAAAATTTCTACAATGTAAATGTTAAAGAGAATACATGGATGTGGACTAACTCACTAAGTTAAAATTGGGATAAAGAACTAGGTCCTTAAACACTGAAGAGACACAAGAATGCAAAATCCTCTGTTAAAAATTATCTATATCCTTGATTTCATTGTCACATACTGCATGCATATTGAAAATCCATAATGTGCACTATAGAGATGTACAGTTATGGAATATAAATAAGAAATCATAAAATTGCGGTTGCAGGCCCTCACACTTGAGTCCTTTGCCCATCCCCACCTTCGAACCGGCCAGCAGTTCCAGACACCAGGCGACCTGCAGCTACAGGCCCTTCCACCCAGGTCCCATCACTCATCCTCTGACCCTTCCCCATTTGCCTTTGGACTCTCTGAATTTTAGTGTTTTGAATAGCGCACGGCGCAAGTTGCGCACCGTGCAATTTTGTTTTGCTTTGTTTTTCCTTGCTCTTGAAGTGTTGCTTATTGGGTCAGTTGGAGGCTCACCACTTCTTAGAACCAGGGAGGATTTTAGGTCACCCAGGACCAGTGACAACAGTACATAGTACTGTTGAACAACAGGTAGGCCAGCCATAAGAGAAATCATCTATTTTCTAATCCTGTACAACTTGTAACACTCAGAGATACCATAAATACATTAGAAAGCAACATAAAGACCACCTGATGACTAGGAACAATTGCAGAGGCTCAACCAACAAAAGGCCTCTCCCCCCAAGGGAAATCATCAAGCCTACATCACCTACAGTCAATACAATGGAAGTTGTGGACATGTCTGATAAGGAATTCAGAATATCTATAGTGATCAAACTAACTGAGATAGAAGAGAAAAGAGACAAGGAGCTCCAAGAGATGAGGAAGTCCTTTCATGATTTGAAAGAAGAAATAGATACCTTAAATAAGAACCAGATGGAACTTCTAGGGTTGAAGAATGTGATACAGGAAATCAAAACCTCCCTTGAAAGTATTAAAAGTAGGTTAGATCAGGCAGAAGATTGAAGCTCTAATGTAGAAGACAAAAACATCTGACCTAGAAAAAAGTATCAAGAAGATTGAGAAAACAACAATGAAAAATTAGGATAATATACAAGGAATACTGGATACCATCAAGC